TAGATAGATAGATAGATAGATAGATAGATAGATAGATAGATAGATAGATAGATAGATAGATAGATAGATAAAGTTTAAGTCTTATCTGTTAGGCACAGTTCCAAAGTAGAGGGAACCAATAACAAATTTAGGTAGTAAAATGGACTTTTAAGCAATCAAGAATTGTTAATAATTCTACAATGTTACACAATATTAAATAACATGATTATAGCAGACAAGTAAAGCCCTACAATATTTATTATTTTTTAAATGTTTGAGTTAAATATTACCAAATTTAGATGAAAATGTTGCTGTGAAGCTGAAGACTGCCCCATAACTATTGCAATATAAGGAAATTTGCCACTGTATATAGAAAAAGAGGTAGCTGAGACCGGTTCTTTCCTTTTCTAATTTTCAAATTTCAAATATTTAAGCAAAAGCTGTTTCTATTTGGTACACAGAGTAAAATACTTTCCCAGGAAGTAATAAATCTAATGTTAGGAAAAAAAAGTAGCTATGGAGAATTGGTAGAAAAAGAACTTGAAGAATCGTATTACTATCTTCTAAATAAACTATAGCATTAATCTTCCTTGGATATTTCCCAAATCAAACCTCTAATTACCAAGTTTAGTCTATTCTGTATCATTAAATTTCATATATGCCAATCCCCTTCATAATTAATTGGTGTATTCTGTGAGTATTAACAGCATCATCTAATAATGTTTCAAAGTGTTGCAATTTGTTACAATAATCTAAAGAAGCTTGTTTCTAAATAAACAGCAATTTATTTATTTAATAAGTATACATAGGACTGTTAAAAAGAAAAACTGAATTAGTCATTATAAAACTTACCCTTGCTTCTGTCTCTGCTTTCTCCTATATCAGTACTGGTAATGGCAATTGTATCAGCCAATGCCATCAACAGCATCTGTTCCATCCTGGTAAGTCCTGGTAAGCTAGAGTGAAGCAAGTGACGAGAAAGAACTTGGGCATGCTCTTGTCCAAAGTAAGTTGGGCTATACTGAGAAAGATCAATAACTTTTGGCTTTTTGTCATCTTCATCTACTTCAATTGTAGTCAGTTCATCTGTATACAGGCTGGAATTTTGAAATAGATCCTCATAATTTTCATCAGCCATACATTTGTTAAGTTTTTTTGGAGTATTTGACTTTTCAGTATAAGCATAGGCACATTCTTCATCAGCAGCAAGCAATGCATACAAAGGAAGGGGTGGAACAGAATCTATTTCTGTATAGTCTGTTATTACACATCTGTTAAATGTCATAGGGTCTCTTGTACTACTCCCACTAGCACAGATTGAGAGAGAACGGTACCTTTTTTCATGGTAGGGGTCGTTTATGGCAATAACTTCTCCAGCAATGCATTTGACAAGATGAGATAAAATGGCCTTTGCTCTACGTACTTTCCCTAGATCCATGAGTTCCAAAAGCTGCACAGGATGATACTGAGGTAAAGTAGGACATAATGAATGAGCTGCTTCAAAGAGGCCAGAATCTTCCATCTCCAGTGATAGTTCAAATACAGTTCGTTTCCCGCCAAGTTTTTGAGCAAAGCTAGTCATGGATCTGGTTAATGTTCGTTTTGACTGGTTTTGTTTAATTAAATTTGTTATGGATGGTGTGCTCCCACTATAAGAGTCTACAGTAATGGGATCTTGCTTTGAAAGTGGCTGCCATTGAGAATAAACATGCATTTCACAATCCATCCCAACTACAAGGATGCCATCACGAACCCAAGACAAAGAAACTGGTAAAGGAGATGATCCTTCCACTGATGAGACCAAGTCCACACATCGTAACAGTATAAATCTAGATGTACAAGAAGTTTTAGCATTTTCCCATACTGGCAGTACAAGCATTTCCTTAGCACTTTGTTCCTGTATTTTCCCAGCCAACTGACCAAACATATAAAGCTTTGAACCGATGCCTACTGTTAATATATGAGAGCCATCTTCCCTAGACATCCAGTCTAAGTGAACCAAATGCTTTGTTCTGGGTGTTAAGTTCTTATTTCCTTCTGCTATTGAACTACTATTGGCACTCAGAGAATCCAATGTTAGGTTTAGTTCATCTAAATGAAGTGTTTGTTCCAAGTTCCAACAAGAGCCTCCTGTAGATTCACATTCAAAAATGCCAACATTCACCAAAAAATCTTGAGAATGACTGTTTTGGGGTGGTGTTCGCTTGTATGCCACAGCTAAACGATTTGTATGAGCACAGCTAATTTCAAGAGGTAAACCAGGCACTTCAAGGGCACTGCTACTAAGATGTCCATCTTCAATAAGCAATGGCCATTCTTCCCATACATACATACCACTGTTCTTAGTACTCTCTGATTTGGGTAATACATCTGTTTCCAGTGCCACTCTACACTTCCAAAATCTAACTTTCCCATCTGAGCAAAGTGTTGCAAGAAGATAAGGAGCTTGGCAGACTGGATAAATTGAAGAAGAACTTAAATGACCTAAGATTAAGAAACAAAAATCCTTAGGATATTAACCAGAAAAAATAAGTTCAACATGAGATTTTTCAAGCAAATTTTTCAGAATTTAAGAAGAGCAAAGTTTATTGCTCTGCAGTTAATAAATCCAACAGTTTACTGTAGTACATGGCATAAAGTAGTTTCAGTAGCTGTTTTTATATTAATTTTCTTTCTTAAATATTAGAATTTCAAGTTATCATTAAGATGTAATGAAAACACTGAAGAAAAGCTGACATGAAAGTTAGTTAACACACAATTTCCTCCTACCCTATTTTTTTTTTTTTTTAATTTACAAACCTGCTGATGGTTTAATGCTTACTATCTCCACTCCTTCTGGTAAATTCAGTTCTTGACTATAGACAATTTCTGAAGAAAGAGCTAGCTGGCTGGTACTCTGAAGATTATCTCTGCAGACTTTATAATTCTTTGTAAATGAACTGTGAAGCTTTTCTTTGTCCGGAGAAGAATAAAGCTCTTCTTGTGATACTGTTTCAGATGCCTTAGGAATTACTTTTTCATCTACAAAAATTGGGATATTTTATTTAGAAGTACTATAAAATCAGTTCTATGGAATTTCAAGATATTCTGAAATTACAATATTAACTCAATTCTGTATTTATACCAAAATATTTGTTTTCCTACAACAAGCTACTAGAAACCAGTAGTATCAAAGGCTGAGCCAGTTGCTAGAGAAAATATTCATATTGGCCTGCCCTGCATCTCACATGCAAAATATTTTTAAGGATGTATTGACCTTTATCTGGACCATGACATCTCTTTTAGCATGACTCCTTTTGCATCCAGCACAATATTCATTTTATTTATTTATATATCACATTTATATAGCCACCCATCTCACACAAAGCGACTCTGGGTAGGGTACAACAATTAAATAAAATAACAAATAGAAAAAAATAATTATAAAAGATAAAAAAGTGATTATTAAAATACAACATCATCAAAAAGTTTAAAAATTTTAAAGTTTAAAATATACAAACCCCATAGAGAGAGCAGAATATCAATCATAGTGGAGCTATCTAAGAATGTCTCCGGTTCCCAAAGACCCCCAGGCCTGATGACACAATCAGGTCTTGAGGGACTTCTGAAATGACAGCAGGGAAGGGGTGAGTCTAACTGCAGGGGTGAGAATGCTCCACAAGGAGGGAGCCATGGCAGAGAAGGCCTGCCTCCTGGGACCCACCAAATGCAAGTCCCTGGCTATTGGAACGTATAGCATACCTTCCCTGCCAGATCTAATGGGGTGGGCTGATGTGATCAGGGAGAAGTGGTGCCTCAGATAACCCAGCCCCATGTCATGAAAGGCTTTAAACGTCAAAACCAGCACCTTGAATTGGACCCGGAAGCAAACTGGCAGCCAATGCAGCTTGTGAAGCAGAGGTGTAGTATGTGCTCTTCTAGGAGCACACATAACTCCCTGTGCCACCACATTCTGCACCAG